CACGTCGCTATTCGGGAACACCCCGGGGGCGCACCGGAACTTCGCCGTGTGCATGCGCGCGTCATCTGGACCGTCGATGACGAGACGGCGCCGTTCGCGCTCATGCTTGCACACCGCACATTCCTGTCTGCGTATTTCCTTCGGGGACATCGCGCGCTGACGGCGTGCTCCGACAGTTTCCTTCTCTGAGACCCCTGCGGCGTCGCACAAGGCCCTACATCTCGCGTTCCCACATCCAACCACACCATGGAGCCAACTCCCCGGGACTCCAGTATCACGCCCGTGCAAAAATGAATGCGTGTCTTCCGTGAGGTCTCCTCTGCGGAACTCCTCTTGCACGGATTTCAGCCAGGCATCGTCGCAGCGCTCGCACTCCACTAGCTCCGTTACCCCCTGCACGCCCTCGTTACCTCCCCCCCACAGGAGAGCCTGCCCGTGTAGCACTGGCGGGAGCGAGGTATACTTCCGTGCCGCCGCGATGCGCTCTGCTGGCACGTCTGCAAGGAACCCTCCGTCCGGAGGGGCCAGCTGCCAAAAATCTCCGCTCAGAACGACGTTCAAACCGCCGAAGGGTCGCGTCACTCCGTCCTCCCCGCGCTTCTGGGTGCCAATGTCCCGAATAACGCTGCGAAGTTTCTGGTCCACTTCGGCGAGCAGCCGGGCGCTCACCATGCTGATCTCGTCTATGAACAACCACCTCCACTGCAGAACTCGCTTGGCCGTCTCGTACTGCAGTTTCACATCCTCGCCCTTCTCGTCACCACGCTTCACGGCGGGGATACCGCAGGCGTGGTGGATGGTGTCTCCACCGAGCAGCTGCGCCATGACTGCCTGGAAGGCCGTGATCTGAAAATGGACGCCTATCGTCCATTTCATCAAGCCTTCGAACAGCTCCTTCCGAAGAATACGCAGCACGTGCGACTTCCCGGTGCCGGGCCCTCCGTGCATACACCACCGCAGCGGGTCACCCATGCCCGCGCCCCCTCGTGCCTCCCCGTCCAGCTCTTCCATCACCCTCTCTGCTACCTGCTTCACCATCTCGAACTGTTTCGCGTTGACCACGCGTCGGCCTGTGTCCTTGTCAGTCCGATGCTCAAGTTTTCTGAGCCACTCTGCAATCTCTTGTGATGTCGCCCCTGCCTGAGCCTCCACCTTCCCATACCCTTCCTCCGCAGTCACTCTGTCGGCCATTGACTTCTCCTTGTTTCGCGATGCCCTTGCTGCGGCCTGAACAGCTTCCAGATCACATTCGACGGCTGTGGGCCACGCGTTTCGCACCTCACTCAGCGACTTTTCGTTTGGGCGCCGGCCCCACACCTCCTGGGCTTTGGCCATGCCTGCCTTCGAGTTCTCATAATGTGTACAGCCACTAAGACCATCCTCCACCCCACCAACCTCTTCTTCACAACTGCTGTCACCGTCGCCGTCGTCTCGCTTCCGACCCCCGACGCGTGACTTCAGAGCCTCGTCCAGCTGGTCGAATCCAACCTCCAATTCTTCGTCACTCACGTCCTCGTCACTCCGAGCCTCATCATGCTCCGCATCCCTCGGACGCACGCGATACACGCTCAGGAAGTTCCCAACGTACCGCGCAGCTTCTTCCGATTGAACTCCGCCGTCCAACCACGCAACCATGGCGGCTTCCCACGTTTTCGCGGCCCGTCGCAGTGCGCCTGCGAACACCACGTGATTGTCGGCCTCTGACTGTCGCAACGTCCACGGGTGGAAGTAAGACATTACAATTCGCGCTGACCGCTCAGCTTCTCCATGTCGGCTGCGAGGCACCGGTGCCCCGAAAAAAGGTTGGCGCCATAGGCCTCTTGTTCCTGACAAGAACCCACGTGTGTCGCAGGTGCCGGCATCCGTCAGTGTCCGGGTACGCCACCCAATCTTTCCCTGCGTCGCCCTTCACCATGTAATCCACCCCAGGCACTAGCTCTTCCGCCTGCCGGGGCCAGAAAACGGCCCCGAAGAATACAATCCGAGGCCGAGTGTCAACCAAAACAGGCGAGACCATTTTTTGATGAGAAATTGCTGCTCAAGGGAGAGAGAGAGAGAGAGAGAGGCGGAATCTAACACACGCACACACAACACGCACACACACACACACAAGCGCAGTCAACCCAAGCTCCCGTTCGTCCCGTGTCGCGTTCACGCTGCAGTGCTGCCCGCATCGTCATCTACTCAAACTGAATACCACCCTCCTCTCTCCCCCGCAGTTGCGGGAACCGCTCGCAACGACCCGGACAACAAAGAAAACACAAGACCCCATTTGGGGTCGGCGGCAGAGGCGGCAGCCTTTAAATATATAATGATGATGTTGAAACATGTTCGAAAATTGCATTCGTGCTGGCATCCAAACGACATTATGGGCCTCATACGTTTCATACGGCCCGGGGGGTGGTCGTAGAGCTCACGGGGCAAAGCTATTCCCCCATTTCCCATGCCCGAACAAGAGAACCTCCAGAGAACCCTGCAACAATGCGGACAGATAACCACATACAACCGTTGGTAGGGGCTGACAAGGATCGTAAGAGTCAAAAGGCCCCATAGAAAGTTGACAAAGAACCACAGAGAACCCCGGAGATAACCCCACATAGTATTAAAAATGTACGGACAAAATAACATGAGGAGAAACCCTAAGAGAACCCGGCAGAACCCAGCCACTGAGTTGACTGAGAACCACGGAGAACCCCGGAGAGAACCCCACATATTATTAACAATTCACGAACAACTAAAATAAAGAGAATCTCCAAGAGAACCCTGCAGAACCAGGCCAATGAGCGGACTGATAACCACATAGAGACATGGAGAAAACGCCACATATTATTAAAAATGCACGGACAACTAAAATAAGGAGAATCCCCCGGAGAACCCTGCAGAACCCAGCCACAGAGTTGACTGATAACCACAGGGAACCCCCAGAGAAAACCCCAAATATAATCGAAAAACTAAGCTGATTTTCACATTCGGCAGCAATTCCCCTTTGAACATAGAGAAATAAGGAGGACCCCCAAGAGAACCCTGCAGAACCAGGCCAGTGAGTGGACTGAGAACAACAGAGAACCACGGAGAGAACCCAACATGTGATTAAGATTGCACGGACAACTAGAACACGGAGAACCCCCAAGAGAACCCTGCAGAACCCAGCCACTGAGTGAACTGAGAACCACAGAGAACCCACAGAGAGAACCCCAAATATAATCGAGAAGCTAAGGAGGAGGTAATGTTCAAATAAGACAGTAGTTCCCCTTTGAACATACAGAAATTACGAGAATCCCAAAGAGAACCCTGCAGAACCAGGCCACTGAGTGGACTGAGAACCACAGAGAAGCCCGAAGAGAACGCCACATATGATTACTAGAACCACGCGCGCGCTTCGCGCGCGCTTAGGTTCTAGCAAGCCCCAGCCCTCGGCAAGATCACAATTCAATTTTAGTCAGCCGCGAACGGTTTGAACATGAAGTGAAACATTCTCAACAACGTGGACCGAGCAGAAACTAATTTCCAGCAAGGACGCTAAACGCAATGAAAAAACAGTCAATGCAATGGCTGTGCAAGGCAACGCATTGCCATGAAAGTAGATGCGATGGCTATGCAACGCAACATATTGCCAGCAGAAGTGAGCGAAGCAACTGCAACGCAATATGATGGAGTACAGCTCAAGGGAAAGCAGAGCAACATGAGCCGATGCATGTGAAGCACATGCGACGCAAAGCAATGCAGTGCAATACATTGCAATGCATTGCAAAACGCCGATCAAACCCCAGGAACACCAAGGACTCAGAGATCCCAGGGACGGGGAACCCAAGGAAAGATCCCGAAGAACCCAGGCTGGGGGCTGCAAGTGCAGTCGGGTCTCTTTCGTAAATAAAAAGAAGGATGACAGAGGAACGAGTAGGGAAGAAGGAAGAGGGAGAAGCGAGGACACAGCCAGAAGGAAGGATGGGAGAAGACTCGGGCAGGGGTGGGTGGAGGGAGGAGGAACGGAGGAAGGGAAAGGAGCGAGGCGGGATCGCATAGCGTCCCCCTGGAAGCGCCTCCTACGGCCCCAGAGGAAAGGCAGATTTCGCACGGCGTCCTCACGACAATTTCGGGCGCCCCTCACACGGATCGTGCCCCCCAGGGAGCTCCACTGATGGTGCCAGAATTATCCGCCACCGTGCCTCTGGGCACGGAGTGGGCGTGTCCTCAGGTCCTCTGCCTCATCCCCTGAGCCTCAGCCCTCACTCCTGAGGAATCTTGAAAGGGGACCAGAGCCCAACCTCTCAAATCTCCCGGGCCTTGTCGCTGTCCCCCTGGGGCTCCCCGCAGCTTCACGCGTGACTATTTCGGACCCAAAAGGGCCCCAAGACGGGCCAAGAGGGCCCCAAGAGGCCCCCAAGACGGCCCAAGAGGGCCCCGAGACGCCCAAAGAGCGCTCCAAGACGCCCAAGATGGCCCCAAGACGGGCCAAGAGGCCCCCAAGACGGCCCAAGAAGCTTCCCAGAAGCCTCCCAAGAGGGCCCCGATAAGCTAAAATTGTTTATGTTCCATTGTGTGTGTTTCGGTGTTTTTGGCCTTCTCGCCTTTTCGGCTTCCCGACGCTCCAAGACGGCCCAAGAGGCCCCGAAGACCGCCCCAAGACGGCCCAAGAGGCCCCCAAGACGGCCCAAGAGGCCCCCAAGACGGCCCCAAGACGGCCCAAGAGGCGCCCAAGACGGCCCAAGAGGGCTCCAAGACGGCACCAAGAGGGGCCCAAGAGGGCGACCAAAAAATCAAAAAATCTAGCTTTCCGCATTCAGAAGCCCCAGGGGGCCTCAAGAGTGCCCCAAGAGGCCCCCAGAGGCCCCCAAGAGGCCCCCAAGACGCCCTAAGGGGCCCCCAAGAGGCCCCCAGGAGGCCCCCAAAAGACCCCCAGAGGCCCCAAAACGGCCCCCAAGAGGCTTCAAACATGCCTTCCAGAGGCCCCCGAGAGGCCTACCACGAGATCCCGACACACATACGAGAAGCCTCTGACCCATAACCCTGGCACGGTGGCTGGATGGGCCGAAGGCTATTAGATAAGCTTGTCAGTGTTCACATCGACACCTTCCGTCTGCTTCCTAGTGGAGATGCCGACTTTTACAAAAGGCTTCCCAACCACAGTGCGCAGCACGGGACGGCGGCACGGTGCAAGTGCTGGCGCGGCCTCGAACCGAGGCTCCAGAGCTGTGACTCTTGCGCCTCTTACAAATAAACAATACCGAACTAACAAAGCAATCGAACGCGATAGTGCGATGGCCCTTCACGTCCGCATGAGACGTGTGAAGCTTGGAATCCATGGGGCAGCGGCCTGGAGGTGGCTTGCTCTGACCACGCTTCCAACGGATACATGCGGCGCACCTCCAGACTCCAGACCACCACTCCCAATGATGTCCATCCTTGTGGGCGGCAGCTTCGAGCGGAACTCGCTCAGCTCCGCTGAGGTCAAGAGCAAGCTAAATGTGCAGCAGGCCGGCGGCGAGCTTTCAAGTGGCTCGCGCGTGTCGCACAACAACGTCCACAGCATCTAGCAACGTCTGATCACATGGGTGCAAAGGCCCCCGCATCGAAACAATCGATGCGCCTGATGTCCGGGGATTTGGGGATGACAAAGGTTTTGGAACGACAAGTTTGGGAAAAAAACACGTTGCCGTCTCATGCAACTGGAGCTGGATACTGGAGGTTGGGGGGGTGAGATCGCAATGAAACGGAGAGCCCCCCACCAAGAAATCGTTTTCGGTTTCGTGTTCGCCCCGTGCATGCGGGCGAGGCGAAGCTGCGTGTGCGGGCGAGAGGAGTGATCCCGACGTCGCTGCGGCGAGGTCAGAGCGAGAGTCCGTGGTCCGTGGTTGTCCCGATGGTTGTCGTTGTCCCGATGATTGTTCCGACGGTTGTCCCGATGGTTGTCCCGACGGTAGTCCCGATGGTTGTCCCGATGGTTGCCCTGATGGATGCCCTGATGGTTCTCCCGATGGTTATCCCGATGGTTGTTCCGATGGTTGTCCCGATAGCTGTCCCGATGGTTGCCCCGATAGTTGTCCCGATGGTTGTCCCGATGGCTGTCCGGATGGTTGTCCCGACCCCAAGAAGCCTCGCAAGAGGGCCCCGAGAGGCTAAAATCGTTGATGTTGATGTTACATTGTGTTTTTCTATGTTTTTTGCCTTCTCGCCTTTTCGGCTTCCCGACGCACCAAGACGGCCCAAGAAGCCCCGAAGACGGCCCCAAGACGGCCCAAGAGGCCCCCAAGACGGCCCAAGAGGCGCCCAAGACGGTCCAAGAGGGCTCCAAGACGGCACCAAGAGGAGCCCAAGCGGGCGTCAAAAAAATCAAAAAATCTGGCTTTCTGCCCCCAGAGGCCCCCAAGAAGCCCAAGGAGCCCCCAAGAGTCTCAAGAGGCCCCCGGGAGGCCCAAAAAGGACCCCCAGAGGCCCCAAAACGCCCCCCAAGAGGCCTTAAAACTGCCTTCCAGAAGCCCCCGAGAGGCGTACCACGAGATCCCAACACACATACAAAAAGCCTCTAACCCGTAACCCAGGCACGGTGGCGGGATGGGCCGAAGGCCAATAGGATAATTCGCATGGCGCCCCTCCGCCTATTTCGGCACACCCTTCACACTGATCGTGCCCCACAAGGAGTTCCCCGTACGGCCTCACGGGGAGGACTCGCATAGCGTCCCCTCGCATATTTCGACTCACCCCTCAAACGGGTCGTGCTCCAGGGGGAGCTCCACCGACGGCCCCAGAGACAAGGTTCGCATCCAATACGCCCAAGTCGGCACCCCCCTGACATGGATCTTGCGTGGCCCTCCGGGAGATCCACCTACGGCCCCAGAGAGAAGATTCGCATGGCGTCTCCCCGCCCATTTCGGCACACCTCTCACACGGATCACGCCCCATAGGGAGCACCACCGACGGCTCCAACGGGAGGGGTCGCATGGCGTCCCTCCGCATATCTCGGCACACCCCTGACGCGGATCGTGCCCCGCAAGGAACTCCACCTATAGCACCAATGGGCAACTTCGCATGGAGTCCCCACGCCCGTTTCGTTTCCCGCCTTGTACTTTTCATCGTCCAGTTCTTTCTCTTCCCGTTCTCTCCTCCTCGTCCTCCTCGAGGCTTCTTTCACGACGAGACGACGACGACGACGACAACCACCGCTACCATGACCACCATGATGACCACAACGACGACGATCGACGAAGACCACAACGACGACGGCGAAAAAGACGACGACCACGACTGAGGCGACGACGACGACTACGGAGACGATGTCGACGACGAGGACAACGACAACACCCAAGACAAAGACTATGCCGGCGATCACAACCACGACACCGACCACGACCGCGACTATGACGACGACCATGAAGGAGGACGAGGAGGACGAACAGGGATTCTCTTGTGATGTTTGAAAGAGTTGGGCCTCGGGATGCGGGTCAGTTCGATTTGATGAAATCCTTTCATACTTCGCCGAAGAGTGACAATGAAACTACAGCCACATGAATAGCTGCCTTTGTCAACTTTGTTGGTGAGTGTGCCTAAGCGCACATGGGGCCTCTTGGGGCGTCTTGGGGGCGTCTTGGGGCCTCTTGGGGGCCTCTTGGGAATATCTTGGGGCCTCTTGGGGCCTCTTGGGGGCCTCTTGGGGGCTCTTGGGGGCCTTTGGGGCCCTTTTGAAGGTCTCCTGGGGGCGTTGGGGCCTCTTGGGAAACTCTGTCGGACCTATTGGGCCCGTCGGGGGGGGGCCTGTTCAGGGTCTCTTGGGGGCGTTTTGGGGCCGTTTTGGGGGCCTCTTGGGGGCCTCTTGGGGGCCATGTTGAAGCCTCGGAAGAGCTCCAGGAGTAGCGCCACAATGGCCCCAAGAGATGTTCCAAGGGGGGTGCGAAGAGGCCCCAACAAGGGACCTCAGAAAAGCCTCACGGCCCCAGGAGGGCTCCGACAGAGTGCCAACTGGCGGCCCCAGATGGCTGAAATATGGGCCCAGAGCGATCCAGGATGGTCCGAGATTGCGTAAAAGTTGGCCCGAAGATACTCACAAAGAGGGCCCAAGAAGAGCGGCCCCAAGAGGGTTCCAAGAGGACCTCAGACAGAATGCAAAAGCAGGCAAGGAGAAGCCCCAATATTGCCCAAGGAGAATATTCCTCTTCCTTCTCTTCGTCTTCCTCCTCCTCCTCCTCCTCCTCGTGCACCTCCTCGACCTCTTCACTCCTCCTCCTCCTCCTCCTCCTCCTCCTCCTCCTCCTGCGCACCAACCGTCAGCGACGGCGAATGGCACCAGCCGAAGCAAGCGGAACTTGGGACTGTCGAAGGCGAACAGCATCACCGCAAGCGGAACCTGGGACTGTCGACGGCGAGTCAGAACAGCCAACCAGCAGGAGGTGGGGGGGGGTCCGGTCTCCGACGACTCCATGTGTTCGAGTTTCGGGCCTCCCTCGTTTGTGACGACGACGACAACGAGGGAAAGGAGGAGAAAGTGTAGGGCCATGTAATGGCCATTTTGGGAAGCTTGTGGCGCGTTGGGCCCCCGTTCGGCCCTCTTCGGGCAGCGGAGGAAATGTCGTGGGACATCTCGGTTCTCTCGTGGCTATCAGGAGGTCGCTGTCTGCGATCTGTGACCCCGTATTTGGGATCTCTTGGGCCTTTCTGGAGCGTTGACCACTTGTGCTTCGAACTGATCTCGGCCATCTTGACCTTCTCTAGGGGCCCTCGCGTGACCTGGGGCCAAATAAACAGGAGTGGAATGGGTGAAGCCGCCACCGCGCCTGAGTTGTGGGTCAGAAGCATATTGGATGCTTGTTCGGGTCGCTTGGGGAACTTCAGAGATCCAATTTGTTGTTCAACATCAACCATGAGAATGAGCCACAGGCCTCCTAACAGTGAAGGTCCGGAGGGCAGCACCTGGCACGGCTCAAAAACGGCTTAACAACCTTACCGGACAAGAGCGGGAAGCGCCGTTTTTTATCTACCACGTGCGTCAGAGAACGTATTGGCGAGAACGTCAGAGAAACACATAAACGCAACAGAACAAACTAAATGATGGCCTGCCGCTCTGGTCTGTCGAGCTAATCTGCTGCCCTGGGCGCATGGTGTTCACACGGTGCTTTTCTCTCGGCCACGCGGGCGCCCACCCGTTGTCGCCCAGCCTGTCTTTTTCCAACCCGTTTTTTTTTTTGTTCGTCCGTCGTCGTCGTCGCGTGCTTTTCCTCTGTCGTGGTTGTCGTTTGTCATTATCATCGCCCGCTGTTGTCGTTCTCGCTGTCGTCGTGTTGTCGTTGTCGTTGTCGTTATCATTTTATGTGTGCACTCGCTTTTCTGATTGTTTTTTGTTGTTGGCTAGATCCCGTGTTCGGTTGGTTTTCGTTTCATGGTTCGTGGTCGTTCTCTGTTGTCGTATTATTTTTCGTTGTTTTTTTAGACCTTACCGGACAAGAATGGGAAGCGCCGTTTTTTCCACCACGTGCGTCAGAGAACGTATTGGCGAGAACGTCAGAGAAACCCATAAACGGAACAGAACAAACTAAATGATGGCCTGCCGCACGGATCTGTCGAGCTAGTCCGCTGCCCTGGCCACATGGTGTTGACACCGTGCTTTTCTCTCGGCCACGCGGGCGCCCACCCGTGGTCGCCCAGCCTGGCGTTTTTTTTGTTGTTCGTCCGTCGTCGTCGTCGTCGCGTACTTTTCCTCTGTCGTGGTTGTCTTTTTCATTATCATCGCCCGCTGTTGTCGTTCTCGCTGTCGTCGTCGTGTCGTTGTCGTTGTCGTTATCATTTTATGTGTGCGCTCGCTTTTCTGATTGTTTTTTGTTGTTGGTTAGATCCCGTGTTCGGTTGGTTTTCGTTTTATGGTTCGTGGTCGTTTTGTGTTGTCGTTTTATGCGTCATTTTTTTGGAGATCCGACGACGACGACGATGACGACGACGACGACGACGCGACGACGACGACGGCGACGACGCCGGCGACGACGACGACGACGACGACGACGACGACGACGACGACGACGACGACGACGACGACGACGACGACGACGACGACGACGATCGGTGACGACGACGACGCGACGCGAGGAGGTCTGGGACTGTACTTCCATGCTGAGCCTGGCAGGGCTTCCCGCTCTCCGCTCTCCGCTCCCGCTCTCCGCTGTACGCCGTGCCACAAGATGGCTCCAGCACGGCCTCGACGCAGCCGAGGGCAGCCTCAGGGACGTGCCCGAGCTCCGGGATGGAATCCGTACCCCTTAGTTAGAGAAAGTTGAGCCCCAGAACCAACGGTGCACGCCGGAGGCGCTTCCCGTCATCCTCGAGTTCGTACGAGGCCGTCTTGAGGGCAGCTGGGCCGTCCTGGGGGGCGACGCGGGGCCGTCTTGGGGGCCGTCCTGGGGGCTCTTGGAGGCGTCCTGGGGCCGTCTTGGAGGCCTCCGGGAGCGACTCCAAGATAATGCTGCTTCGGAGCCGTCTTCGGAGGCGATTTTCTGAGGATGTCCCGAGCGAAACGGCCATTTTCCCGTCATCCGCCAGCGAGTTCCGGGATGGAATCCGTGCCCCTTAGTTAGAGAAAATTGAGCCCCAGAACCAACGGTGCACGCCGGAGGCGCTTCCCGTCATCCGACGACGACGACGACGACGGCGACGACGACGACGACGACGGCGACGACGGCGACGACGACGACGACGACGACGTCCCGAGGCCGTCCTGAGGGCATCCTGGGCCGTCCTGGCGGCACCGTGGGTCGTCTTGGGGGCCGTCCTGGGGGCTCTTGGGGGTCTCTTGGGGCCGCCTTGGGGGTCCTCTGGGGGGCCTTCGGGGTCTCTCTTAGGCCGTTTGGAGGCCCTCCGGGAGCGATTCCAAGATAATGCTGGTTCGGAGTCCCCTCCGGAACCGATTTTTTGAGGATGTCCCGAGCGAAACGGCCATTTTCCCGGAACCTGACCGGACAAGAACGGGAAGCGTGCTTTTGTCCCCTGGGCTTATGAGATATTCCACGTTTTTAGTACGGCATACCACAGCAGTGCCACGTACCACTGCCGTGCTCCTTTGGGGTCTGCCGTGCTCCTGTGGAGTTTGCCGTGCGAACGTGTGGTCTGCCGTGCTCCTGTGTGGTCTGGCGTGCTCCTGTATGGTCTGCCGTGCTCTTGTGTGGTTTGCCGTGCTCCTGTGTGGTCTGCCGTGCTCCCGTGGGGTCTGCCGTGTCCTGTGTGGTCTGCCGTGCTCCTGTGTGGTCTGCCGTGCTCCTGTGTGGTCTGCCGTGCTCCTTCTTGGTCTGCCGTGCTCATGTGGGGTCTGCCGTGCTCCTGTGCGGTCTGCCGTGCGAACGTGTGGACTGCCGTGCTCATTTGGTGTCTGCCTTGCTCCTTTGTGGTTTGCCGCGCTCCTGTGTGGTCTGCCGTGCTCCTGTGTGGTCAGCCGTGCTCCTGAGGCGTCTACGGTGCTCTTTTGGGGTCTGCCGTACTCATTTGGGGTCTGCCGTGCTCCTGTGGTCGGCCGTGCTCATTTGGGGTCTGCCGCGCGCCTGTGAGATCTGCCGTGCTCCTGTTGGGGAAACGCCAGCGGCGTTCGGGGTACAACAAAAAGGCGCGTTTATGTTGTACCCGCGCGCGGTCTGCCGTGCTCCTGTGGGTTCCGCCGTGCTCCTGTGGCGTCTGCCGTGCTCCTGTGGCGTCTGCCGGGCTCCTGTGTGGTCTGCCGTGCTCCTTTGTGGTCTGCCGTGCTCCTGTGGAGTCTGCCGTGCTCCTGTGTGGTCTGCCGTGCTCTTGTGGTCTGCCGTGCTCATTTGGGATTTGCCGTGCTCATGTGGGGTCTGCCGTACTCCTGTGTGGTCTGCCGTGCTCCGGTGGTCTGCCGTGCTCCTTTGGGGTCTGCCTTGCTACTGTGGGGTCTGCCGTGCTCCTGTGTGGTCTGCCGTGCTCCTGTGGTTTGCCTTGCTCCTGTGTGGTCTGCCGTGCTCCTTTTGGGTCTGCTCTGCCGTGCTCCTGTGGGGTCTGCCGTGCTCCTGTGGGGTCTGCCGTGCTCTTGTGGGGTCTGCCGTGCTCTTGTGTGGTCTGCCGTGCTCCTTTGTGGTCTGCCGTGCTCCTGTGTGGTCTGCCGTGCTCCTGTGTGGCCTGCCGTGCTCTTGTGTGGGCTGTGGGCTGCGGGGCCTATGAAGGCTAAAAGGAGCCCGAGGCCCACAGAGCCCGTTGGCCCCAGGGCCTCAAGGGCCAACCCTAGGGGCCCCAAGGGAGCCGCCAGGGGAAAGGGCGCGAAGCGCCAAATGCGCGAAGCGCACGATTTCAAAGAAATCAGAAGGCAGCGGGGCGGAGGCGCACACCACGCCTAACAGAGCCGCCTCGCTGCATCAGCAATGCGGGGCAGAAGACGCTGCCTCACGCGCACGCCAAAAGAGGTGACGAGGGGCAGATACAACAGAAAGAGGAAAGTGATGCTGCATCACTCCCCTTCGCCACCTTCAGCGCGACGGCGCCTCTTGCGCCTGTCTTCGCGCGCCGCCTCTGCTGCGGCTGACCACTCGAGGAGGCTCGCTTCGTCGAGTCCGTAGGCGGAAAGCCAAGCCTCCCTCGAGGCCCCCGAGGAGTCAGGCGCCAAAGGCTCAGCCTCCGCCTCACCTGCGGCCGCCGCGCCGCTGGGGGGCCCCCGGCCGGCGTCGGCGGCCACGCCGCCAGGTGCATCATCGGGGCGGACACCCAGCCACTCCAGGAAGCGCACCCTGGCGGCCATCGGCACCACGTCCTCCTTACGCAGGCTGGGCACAGACGCTCCGACCCTCTTGCTGCCGCTGTGGGGCGTGCCAGCAGGGTGCCGCCCCTGCAACCAGCGCGCCTTCTGGTCTCTCCTGCCCTTGGGAAGCCCAGCCGACCCTGGGCACTGCTCCTTGAGCTTGGGCGCAGCACCTGAGCGCCCACCCAGCCGCGCGTACGCCCCGCAGTGGGTGCACGCCATCAGCTCCTGCTCGGCGGCGCCCTCCCCGCACTTGGCGTAGGCCAGGACGTGGCCGACGACGACGAAGGCCGTCGCCCCGAGGGAGACACCACCAGCGCGCGCCGCCGATGCCCACCCGTCGCCCGAACCCAGGTCGGGCGGGCGGCTGCTGGCGGGCTCCACCACTGGCACTGCGAAGGAGACGGCCGCCCGCTCGCTGCCCTCGGGGAGGCCCTCGCAGTCCTTGACCTCAATCCCCTGCCAGATGAGGGAGGCTTGCGCCACCCAGCATGAGAGCTCCCTCACCACCTCCATCGTGCCAAAGAACTCGCGCCTGGCCACTGGGCTGGTACGGTGGAGCTCCGCCCCCGCCTTGGCCCAGCGGTCTGCATGTCCGTTGCCACGGAGGTCCGCCTCCGTGATCTTGCCATCCATCACGTCTCTGGCGGTGCAGTGGGCTGCCACCTTGGTCACCTTGAGCGTGTCCACGTCCAGCGACGCGTAGATCCCCTCCCAGAGGTGGGCGTTGGGCTTGCTGGTTGCCGTCGCGTACTTCTTGCCCATCGTGAGGCAGCTGACCGTGGACGCACAATCAATGAGGATCTCGTCAACGCTCGGGCCCAGAAAGCGAGACAGCATCCAGACCGCGAAATCCTCACCGTCCTTCGCCGTCTGGAACGGGCAGAGGTCCTGGCGCACGCTGCCGTACACCGCGCACTCCATGTTGCCGTCGGAGTCGCACTGCACGATGCTCCATCCCGCACGCCGCAGGCTCTCGTGCTCGGGGTCGAGCGCCGACCCATCCAGGTAGAGCCGCCCCCCGAGAAGACCGTCGGCGGGGCGATTGCACCACATGACTGCCATGGCGTCTGACCTCGGGGCGGCCCTCGGTGGCTGAGGGAGCCAGCAGCGCGCGAAACATTCCCCCGCCTCCTCGCCACGGCCGCGTGCACGATGCGCACAGCGCCGAAGGCGGTCAGAGGTGGAGTCACGCCTGGCCCCCGCGAGGACAGGACACTCGAACAGCCTGTGCCAGAGGCTGCCGCGGGGGGCCTCACAGGCACAGCAGCGAGCGTGCTCCCTCTCACCCGCCGCGTGCAAACGGGACTGGGGCCAGTGGGCGTTGGAGAGGAAGCTCACCACCGCCGCCTTCTCCCTGTGGCTGAGCTTGCTGCCAGGCCCGAGGACCTCCGCGAAGGCCTCCCAGAACAGGGGCGACGGAGGGAGCGCACCGTGGCCGAGGCGGGCCAGCTCCGACTTGTCCGACGCTCGCCGTGCCCCTGCCGCAGCCAGCAGGCCCAGCTCGCGCGGCCCCAACATGCGCAGGTCCAGGAGATGGCCGTCGTCGGTTGCGAGGCGGGCTCCTTGAACAAGCTTCCAGCCCACCCTGGAGAGCGAGAGGGCCAGGGCATCCACCGGCGTGCGGCAGTGCGCCCAAGGGGCTGCTGCTCCCGCGTGCCTCTGCATTGCCTCCTGCACGGCCGACTCGAACATACGCAGCGGGACCTCCCCCGACTGGAGGAGACTGGCCGCCATCTGCACCGCGGCCCGAAGCAGCGCGGGGCTCGGGTCGAGGTCGATGGACTTCATGACCTCCACCACTCTGAGTCTCAACCCGAGCGAGGCGCCCTTAGGGAACTTCCCAGCTGAGCGCACAGCCGCCAAGCGCCACGAATGCAGCTCCCTATCAGGAACACCAGTCACAGTGCGCCCCCACAGCATCGCCGCGGTGGGCCCAGCACGATGGACCAGCTCGGTAGCCGCGCCAGCTGAGCGAAGCACACCTAGCCTGCGCCCTCGGCGAAGGCCGCTGGCCGCACGCACAGCTCCTTCATGAACCCCACGACGAGTGATGTTGGCGTCGGTGCCGAGGTTCCTCGCCTGAAGGCCCCTCTTGAAGGTAAAGCCATGCGCCTCCCAAGCCTCGGAGAGCTCCTTGGCGAGCTGCGGCGACGAGGCCAGGAAGACCGACTTACTCTCGTTGAGTGGGAGGTGCTGCTCACGCAGCTGTCGGACCACCTCACAACTGGCGGCCACCATCTGCAGCTTCACGAGCCGAGCCGCGCCGACCGCCTGGAGCGAAATGTCGTCGACAACATTCCTCGGCGTGACCAGCGGGCACGTCGCCCCCGCTGCCAGGAGGGCTCCCAGTACTGGGAGCTTCGCAACTGCTGTCGCACACGCACACCCAGCCAGCACCGTTCCCGTAGTGCCGAAGGCGGGGGAGGCCATGCCCCCCGCTAGGATCATCCTAGGGGCCTGGTAGGACGTGAGGAGGCCGCGCAGCAGCCTGAGGTTGAACCCGAAACGTACCGCATTCGCCCAGAGAACGTCGTGCCGCACGTGCTCGTAGAACTTGCTGATGTCCAGGAAGAGGCTCGCGGCCTCGAACTGCAGGTTCGACTTCGCGAACCCCGCGAAACAGTTGTGCAGCCAACCAGCCCTCTCACAGTCCCGCCCATCACGTCCCCAGAAGAAGGGGAAGTTGTGGTCAGCCTCCCAGCGTGCACAGCACGGTTGGCGGAGGCGCGACCAGAGCCGC